GGGATTAAATTGTGTTAAAATGTACAAAACAGTGATGTCATGTTTTGTGACGAGGACCCAGGCACAGAGAAACTTGAGGAATTTAAGAATCTTATGATTTAATAAAGAAATTTGCAGACTTGCACAGAGATCGTAAAATTATGTTGACTGATAACGGAGACGAAGACAACAGACGATGAGGACAGGGAGGAACAGGGGTTTAAATGCACCAAGGAGACAGTCAGAGAGAACTCGGGACAACTGGAGATATTTAAGGATGCAGGGACTGACAGAGACAGGTTTATCTTGCCTGGCTGGGCAGCTCTCTGGGTGCTTAGCACCCCCAAAGCTCTGATCCTAGAATCGCCCCTGCTACAGAGAAGGGGCTTTATTTTTCATAACAACAACATGAAGGCTAAATAAATCTAAACACAGTTTTCATGCTATTACACATTTAAAATAGTAGAGTTTTATTAATAAAAGTAGTTGTTTTCATACCGCTTGTATAAGAGTTAAAGGTTAATGCTCTCATATTTCCAGTGCTTTACTTGCTCATGGCAAAGTTGAACCTAGATTTTTATTTGGGGGGGGGGGTCCAACACATGTATATCTAAAATGCAATTCCAGTTGTTAGAATTAGTGCCGTTTTGCGATATAAAGTAATACCTGGAGCTTCCACATCATCCTGACACTGTAATAATGTCACTACTTTGACCAACAAGCCTTCATTTTACATGTCTTATGAGATCATTGAGACATAACTTACATTCAGAATATCCTGAGTACCACATGAAATGACCTGAAACATTGAAACTGTTTCTGCTACTGACTCAGAAAGTCTGCTGGGCTTCACATATGCAGATCATGGAGATATACTTCCAACCAGCTAAAGCATTCGTGTACTTCCTTAAATGGGTCAGCCACAGTCAAATGGCAAAACTGGGTTTAACACTATTATTCTCCAGTAAACTATGTAATTGTATATGGAGTTGGCCCTAGTGATGAAGCTCACCCGGCTTTAGTTGGAATCACAAAAAGTAAATTGCTGTTTATTTTATATATGAACAGAAATACCCTCCAAATAACAATGGAACACAATTTCATTTGCTCTAATACCAGTTTGAAAATGGTACATTTGTTTTTCAAAAACATAGCAAAAAAGTTCATAATGATATTTTTTTATGATATTGGTGAAATTATATTTATTTAGTTTTAACTGAGCTTTTTTTATACTTTTAAAATAAGTCTTAGAATTACTGAGCATATGCATGACTGTGGAGAGGATGCTGCAGGGTGTAGTGTCAGTAAATGACATACGTCAAAGGGCACAAATTAATATGCACAAAGGAGAAACATCAATGCCAAAGGTCAGATTTAAAAACACGTGATTTTAAAAGTTAAATCAATTTTAAGCAAACTTTCTCTTATTAGTATGTGCTTGTTATTCATTTGACGTGGAATGTAACATCTCCACTATTTCAAGATAAAATCCAAATTGTTGCTGCATTACATTAACATTTATTTGTGTGTGTGTATATATATATATATATATATATATATATAAAGAAAAGAAAGAAAAGAATCAAGTTCCATATGGGTAACCTGCAACCGCTATTAAGTGCAACAACCACTCTGTAGTGTCTGATGCACAAAAAAAATTAATGGTTCCTTTTAAAGTTGTATATCTTTTTTTATTAATGGTGAATACATCTATTTCATAACATCAGAAAGTTGCATAAACAATCACAATAGATCAAATGTTTTGCCAATAAAGTGTAGCATTTGTCTGTTTGACTATAGCTGACCCATAACGCTAAAGCATCCTGCCTCTACTGCTGATTTTCTAAACACCTGGATAGAAATGTACCCACATCAACTTTTTTTAATGCAATTTAACTGAAATACTATATTTACAAATGACAAAAGATTTTATTTTAGTTTTGACCCCAGTTTTGACCAAATTTGACCCGATGGGTTGTCCAGGGTTAAAAACAGAAATAGTAACCTGATTAGGTGTTCCTGTGTTTACTGCTCTCCTTGCTTCTTTGGAAAATTTTGCAGTCATAACCAATTTATTCTACAAGAGTCAACAAAAGTAACCAAATGGGAATAATGTTTGTAGTAAATAGCTTGATCTTGATTTCTATTATTAAAATCTTGAGTTTTTTAAAGTTTTGTGATGATATTGTGTCATCGTGTTAACCACATCTGGCCAGACCAAACAAAGTATGCTAAGAGAATAGCTCTTCAGTCTCCATGATCCGAAAAATTAAATGCAAAATGTGTGTTTTCAAAGTGAAATCCTCAAGTACTCTTTAAAAAAAACTACAAGTAAAAGATCTCAGCTAGCAAGGATTGCGTTGTCTTCTGAAGTAGTGGTATTTTCCCTTCTGGTGGGTGGGTGTCTCTACTGTCTGATGTCAGCTGGTCTAAGCTGTCTTTCACCCTCAGCCAGGAAGATCTGCATGGCGCGGTACAGCAGGTGGATGCCGAGCTCCCGTTTCTTCTTTGTCTGCCAGTTGGACACGATGCCATAGAAATCCCCTCGCTTCTGATTCGTGAGCATCTTCAACCCTGCAACAGTTGAGAAAGTCAAGTTGCTTCACTGACAAATCTATCAGTGTTGTCAAACACAGTGTTGCGTTTAGGAGTTTTTGAAAACCAAACCGAGCACCTATCACAGGTTTAAACAGTAAAATATTGGTATTAGTTAATATCGCTCATACTTAATGCTGCTATTAGATACAATTTCTCTATTTTTCCTCACTGTTTGTGTTAATATCTTAAAATAATACAGTTTCAGGTTTTTTTGTCCTTTATCTGCCCATTTTTATTTTTTAACTGCTTATAAGCCTTTCACATAGAATGCAACATGCCCCGTGCTCTAAAACCCATTCTTTTCCATTGCTTGCACTGTGCAACAAGAGCTTCCTGTGGCATTGAGAAAAGCGTGCCAGCCAGGGCACACTCGCACATGGATCTCCACAGGTAGGCCCAAGCGACTGGTGGATCTGAACCCCAAACCTCTTTTGCTTTTTCTTAAACACTGCACCACTGTTCCATCACTTCAGAGTAACTTAATATATGCAGGATACTCAAACAATTATCAATACTAAAAATTACAAATTACAATATTCCAAGAGGTCGCTAGGGCTCAACAACACCGACGTATTAAACATGGAGGTGCACACTTCAACAGTAGTAATTTAAGGCACCAAGGAAGCAGTGATGAGCCGCTAACATCATTGGTCCTTCCCCTATTTGGCTGATGTTTGCAAGGGTGGTTTCAGATTCTGATACATAAAAAGAGGGGGAAGTACTCAGCAGTCTTGCTGTGGATTGTGGTGATGTTTATTTCACCGTTTTTGATAAGTTTCGCCCTCATGCACTCACCAATCGCCTCCACCATACAGGCCTCTCTTGTGTAGGCTTCCACAGGAATAACATTTTGGAAACAATGCAGAGAGATGACACCCTGCCCTGTGTTCCACACCTGAAGGATGTGCTGGACTTTGGAGCACAGTTTCTGTGACAAGGAAGAAAAAAAAAAAGAATCAAACTACATATTTACTACTCAATTAAAGACTATTTCAATATGATATATTAATACCGATCAATATTTGCATCCTTACCTTTGAGGTTTTGTCACCTTTAAAGTATTCTAAAGCCTCATACAGATGACTGTAGGGACGGGAGCGTTTTCCTTTGCCAACATAAAATATAGCATGGATAAAAGTCTGGAAGCACTCCTTTGGGGTCATGGTGTGACTGCGAAAGGGAAGGTTTTTTGTCACTCTGTCAGAGAGGGAAATAAACGATTCAATTAATATTTTTAGAGTTGAGAGGTGTTTATGGTATTCTATTTTAAAACTATATTTGGCTTAGACATTTAAACTGGGGGTTTCAAAGATGGTGCCAGTGTGCTCGGCAGGCCGTCTTCACCTCTCCTTTCAACCCCTCTTTGTTGACTTTTGCATTTTATTCCTCATTCTCTTGGTAATATTCTCATCAGGTGGCAATGCTAATTACTTATGACTGACAAACACTTAAATCGATTCTCTCACTCCTATGGTTCCGATCCATGCTGGACTCTGGGAGACACCACCCTGTCATAATCGGACTCCTCCACCAGCATATCCTGACTACCCCTACCCACCATGTCCAAGAAACGCTATAGGAAGCGGGGCAAACGGAGTGGCATTCACGCCTGTCTTAAGGCTTACCGTAAACCACAGGCTATGGCTAATCCACATGCTAGCATGGATATTCTACGTCCTCTCTCCTCCTCCTGTGACTGCCTTCTTGCCAGATCGCTTAGTCGTCGGTGGATCTGCTCCGTCGGACAGCAAGTTTACCCAGCCCTCCCACTGGCATGCCTGCCTATTCAGACCTGGATAACGTCTTCCAGAGGTGGCGTGCATCACAGCAACCTAAGCCGTTTGCGACGCGCTACGAGTAGGGACATGGCGCCCATGACACGGATGGCTCTACTAAATGTAAGGTCGCTGGTGTTTTAAATGACTTTTTCCTCGCCTCGGGGCTGGATGTTTTGTTCCTGAGACTTGGATTAGCCCTGGTGAGTCGTTCTCCTTCTCGGAACTTCTCCCCCCAGACTGTGCCTTCTTCAGCTCACCTAGGCTTACAGGCAGAGGTGGTGGCTTAGCCTCAGTTTTTAAAAATAAACATAAAATTCGGCAGCTCCCCTCCCCTACCTACCCTAGCCTTGAAGTTCAATTACTGGAATTGGCCGATTCTTCTATAACTCTGTGTTGTGGTCTACCGACTGCCAAAATACAACAAGGCTTTTATACAGGATTTTGCTGAGCTATTAGGATCTGTTCTTTTTAAATATGACTGTGTTCTTATCACTGGTGATTTTAATATTGATTTCTGTTGTAAGGATGTTCCATTAGCCAAATGAACCAACCCACTCTAAAGGCCATACCCTTGATCTGTTTTTTTTCATATGACGTTTGTATTAAGAACACTGACAATGTCGGGATCTCTGATCACTTCCCAGTTATTTCTGATGTTGATTTATGCACCCTGAGGGCCTCAGACGCTTGGGCCCAGTATTTTAACTCTAATGAATTCTTCATTGCTTTCTGGCCATGTTCAGACAGCCTTTAAACATGCCTTAGTGCAGCCTGTTCTCAAAACAAGAGCCTCGATCATAATGACCTTGTGAACTACAGGCCGATTTCCAAACTCCCGTTCCTGTCCAGAATCTTGGAGAAGATAGTTCTCTCGCAACTTCATTCATCAACATCAGTGATAAATTTCAGTCTGGCTTTAAACCACGTCATAGCCCTGAAACAGCTCTGCTGAGAGTCCTTAATGATCTTCTCCTAATTGCCGATTCAGGTCGTTCAGCGGTCTTAGTCTTACTGGACTTGTCCTCAGCCATATGGTGGACCATAATATTCTACTAACGAGGTTAGAACATACAGTTGGCATTAGAGGTGACGCCCTTAACTTCTTTAAATCCTATCTTTCAAACAAGGTCCCCCTCTGTCATTCTGGGTACCTATTCTTCCTCTGCAGCATCCTTCTGCTGTGGCGTGCCTCAAGGCTCTGTGTAGGGCACAATGTTATTCTCACTCTATATGCTACCTCAAGGCTTAACCTTTGAAAAATACAACATGTCATTTCATTGCTATGCTGATGATATACAAATTTACTTTCAGCTAAGTGACGATGTTGCTCTGTCACTGCACTGCTTCCTAGAGTGCATGAGAGAAGTCAAAGAACGGCTTTTGGGCAACTCTCTTATCTTAAATGAAAAGAAAACCGAAATTGTGGTGTTTGACAGTCATTTCCTCCGGGGCCAACTAGTTGATACCTTTGGATCCCTTGCCACTTTTGTCTCTGACACTGTTAGTGTCAATCTAGGTGTGCTGCTGGACAGCTCTTTCAAATATGACAAACAAGTGTCCTCTGTAGTCAAATCTAGCTTCTACCAACTGCATCTACCACATAAGGATCTTGAAAAGCTTATTCATGCCTTTGTGTCCTCTAGATTAGATTACTGTAATTCCCTTTACTTTGGTCTCGATGCTGCTCTTCTCCATAGATTACAGCTTGTCCAAAATGCTGCGGCACGCCTTTTGACTGGTACCGGAAGGTTTGCCTCTATCACCCCTGTCCTTGCTGATTTGCACTGGCTCCCCATCAAATACAGCATCAAATTTAAAATATTGCCGCTTACCTTCAAAATTATGAATAATGCAGCCCCAGCTATCTCGCCGAACTTCTTAGACCAGCGGTCTCCAACCTTTTTTGCCCCACGGACCGGTTTATGCCTGACAATATTTTCATGGACCGGCCTTTAAGGTGTTGCGGATAAATACAACAAAATAAAACTAGTACCGGTACCGAAAAAAAGAAAATTTATTCATAACACACGTGAAAAGACCCAGGAAAACTGAGTAAACGATAAAAACGATAACAAAATAACACTGAAAACCGATAAAAACCCTGAAAACCATACATTTCACACCTGAGCCTCAACTCTCGCGGCCCGGTACCAAACAACTCACGGACTGGTACCGGTCCGAGGCCCGGGGGTTGGGACCGCTGTCTTAGACCATACACCTCTGGGAGAGCCCTCAGATCATCCGACCAATTACTCTTGGTACAGCCTAGATCTCGGCTTAAGAGCAGAGGTGACCGTGCGTTTGCCCTGGTTGCACCTAACCTGTGGAACAACCTTCCCATTGCTATTCGCGCATCTGACTCCATCCAATTATTTAAATCACGATTAAAAACTGACTTATTTAATCTTTCTCTCCCGGTTGGTTAATGCCTGCATTTTATACTTAATTCCAATTTTATCTTTCTTAATATCTTCTTCTACTTAAAACCTATGTGTTTTTATCAAGCTTTATTTAATATTCACTTTTATTCTTGTGTAATTAGTGCCAGTGACCTGTTAGCATATTCAGTACTTTGTTAATTCATGTTTTAACCTGCTGTTTTATTGTGAAGTACTTTGGTATACCGTTGGTTTTTAAATGTGCTATATAAATAAAGTTGTATTGTATTGTATTAGACACAAACAAGCCCATTTCTAGCTCAATTTAGACAACTAATATGACTAGAGATTTATAGGGGTGAATCCAGAACACAAGTGCTCTCTGATGCATCTACTGAAGTGTGAATGTGAACATTTTCACACAGTCAGCAACAACTTATCTCCACAGAATGCACAGAAGAAAACAAAACATAAATAAAAATGAAGGTAAAAGCACCTTGGATCAAGCAGCAGGTAGTTGAAACTGGACTTGATGATGCCCTCTCTCCACTTCCTGTTCTGATCTGGTTGGTCAAACTGCTGGCACAAAGCCTGCTCATCAGCCTGACAATTGGGAAGATTAAAGGTCTCCAGAACCCTACACAATTCTGGACTGTAAGCTGCATCTGTAAAAATAAAAAACTAAATGTCAATGTATGTGTTCATATATTTTAAGAGTAGATATTATATTTAATGAAATTTTACAAAGCTCAACTTACCTTAAGTCACGTAAAAACTTGAAATAAAGCATTACCTGCTTGTGGTTGCTCTAACTTCTTCTGTTGATATTGTGACTGGCAGTTGGACTCCTGTACCAGGCGGCACAGTCTTCGCATGTAGGTGGGCCTTGTACGACTGCTGATGGGGCCTGGACTTTCCCCCAGCTCCACCAGCCTCGATCTGAGCTCCTTGTCAGTTAACCCTCTGATTTCTGGCAACATATTGTCCACACACTTCTCATTTTCCGCCTTCTGTACCACCACCTGGGGTTTCTGATTCTCTTTTTCTTTGCTGTCCACCATGTCAGCATGCAAAGTACGCCAGTCATAAAGTATGGTCTCCTCACTGCTGGTAGTACTCATGCTGGAGCTGAGGGAGGTGTCTGCTGTAGGTGGGACATGGGTCTCAATCAGTTTGTGGCCGCGTTCGGTATCTGTGTACAGGTACTCTACTGGTTCGTCCACATCCTGAATGTGTGGACGCCCTCCAGGGGTGTAGGACAAGTTAGCCAGGTGCTGTGGCCTACGGCAGCTTGAAAGCCTGCTCATGCTGTACCTCGGTGTGCAGCCAGTACCTGGGGTGCAGGGAAAATCAGAGTCCTCCTTGGATCTCCTTGGAGAACCATAGCTGGAGGTGGATGATGACGACACAGAGTCTGGCAGAGAGCTACAGTCCCTAGTTATCCAGGCATCTTCATTGTTTAGGCTTTCTACCTGCTCCTCGTGAGGGGTATCGTTTACATTTCTCTTTGTAGTTGTCTCATCTGAACTTGTCAGATCGTCAGTCAGAAATTCCCCGTCTTCAGTGAGATTACAGTTCTGTTCCCGCATAGCAAGAGCAATCTCTGCAATGTTTCTCTCATAAGCACTGACTGAATTGTCATTATTGCTCTCGAGTAGAAACGTGTCACACAAAGTCTGTGACTGAACAGCAGAGTCTGTCACACTTGTAGAGAGGAGAAGCGTATCAGCTTGGCTGTTACTAACACTTGAGCCTCTGAGAGTACTGGACTGTGTCTCTTGGCAGTCCACAGACAAGCATCGTCCTTCTGTGGGTCTGCCTGAAAAGCAGTGTGCACTGGATGGTGAGCGCGGTGAGTTGTAAAACTCTTCACTGGTTGGAGATCTGGGAGTCTGGCGGCGTATTCGAACTGGTGTAGGCAGGGTATCTTCGAACAAAGATGTGGAGAGGCTCTCAGGGGTTCTGCTTGTTCTCAGCGAGCAACGGCTCATTCTTGAGCGTGTCCTGCCTGTTACAAAAGGACTGGGTGTGAATGGATGAGCACTTTTTTCTTCTACTGCTGCGGACTCAACAACATCTCCCTTACTTGGACTGTCTACATCATTACCACCACAACCCTGAACTATATCATTGTTTGGATTTTTTACTCCAGACAAGGTCAGTTTATTAAGCATACCTGATAAACGCTCAACCGTTTGAGGTTTGGAATTGGTATTAGCTTCCATTTGAATCTTTGTAAGTTCACAATCAGAATTTGTAGAAATCAGAGTCTTTCTGTCTAATGCAGTCTTGGCAGAAACATCATCTGCTGCACTAAGTGAAAGACGTTCAGGGTTTACAGAGGCATCCAGAGCACTGGTGTAATGGTCACTCTCACAGCTACTGTACTGGCTACTACTAGTTCCACTGCTGCTGCCGGCGGCATGGCAGTGTACTTTCTTTTCATCACTGTTCCTCTGACTGTCTTTTACGCGCTCTGTTTCCTGTTCATCATCACTTTCTTCCAAAACACAGTGAACAAGGACTGTTTTCTCCAAGTCCTCTTCTGTGCTCTCACTGCTTTCCCTGCAGAAAATGTAGACATGATCCGGTGATGTGGCGTCAATGCCCTGCTTGTCTAAAATAGTAGCCATGCGTTCTGAATCCAGGAAATCAGAATACTCAGATATGTCAAAATGTGAGCTGCGCTGGCAGCCATCAACAGCAGGATTCTGTTGGGGAGATTCGGGGCTGAAAACAGGGTAATATTCATCCACGTCATCCCTGAAGCTCACGCTCTTCCGACTTGCTCGCATGAAGGAAACTGCAGGGACGTTGGAAGGAGGGATTATGCCATCAGGTGCAGCAGTACATTCCTCGCCTTTCGATGTGGTATCATCGGTACAAATGCCACCTTCTTTAAGATTCGATACTGCAGCTGCAGGCTCCACCGCAGACATGCGAGTGCTTGAAAGTATGGAAGGATAAGATGGTCTGTGATGTGATACACTTCTGCAACTTAGTCGTCCATTAATGTTAGACAGGTTAAAAAATGATGAGCGCCTTGTGCTGCTCAGTGGGGCTTCACCAAAGTCACTCATCATGGATGTGTGGGAACTGAAGCTGTAGTCCGATTCAGGATAGCTGGACATGTCTGTCTGGTCGGAATACAGAGCTGTGGAGGAAAAAAATGAACATGATGTCTGTCAGCAAAATTCTGTAAAGACAAACCTGAAACTTTTCTTATCCACTCTTTATACCCTGGCGGGGAGTTCTGCAGGTGATAGTTCTTGTGTTTTTTTTATTATTTGATAGTAAAAACAGGTAATGCTACTGCCAATGTTTTTAACTCCTTTGGTTTCACAATCGGTAGCTGAGCTTCTCAACAGCGCTCTCGGTGTGATTATACAACTGTCAAAGACTTGAAAAAGGTTAAATAAATTATCTTACAGTATTGGAACTGAGGTATGTCATCCTCCTCAGTGTCTGTTGGGCCAGCCTGGTATTCCTGAAGGAGATGGGCACATTTTCGATTTTCCTGTTGCTCTGCAAGCTGCTGTGGAGTGTTTCCTTCCTGGATTAATAAAGCGGATGTAAGAGCAAACTCAAAGTAAAATGTTCACTATATTCAAAGCAAAAGATTAGAATTTTATAGTATACTTTACAGTACCCTTCAGGTATTCTCTTGAAATTGTCACAAATACAAACAACAGATTAACCTAAATGTTCCCAAAAACTAGTCTAAAAGCCACGATTAAGCAATTCATACATTATCTTTGATATATGGATTCCCTCCGTTCATCAAGAGCAGCTTGAGATTTTGATAACATCCCCACAGTGCAGCAACATGAAGAGGAGTGAGGCCTTCTGATGACCTAAAATCGACATTTCATCATTACAAGTCGGTGCAAAGTTTATGAAAAATCTGGCCAATATTTCAAACACAAGTACTGATATACCACAGTAAGTAAACAAATACAAACAGCACAATGTTGGTAATTCTGTCTCCGTAAACCACAACAGTAGATTTTGCATGAAACAATCCAGATGGGATTGGAGTGCAGACTTCACGTTTTCATTCAAAGAGTTTAACAAAACTTTTGCAGCAATTGTTTAGGAATGACAGTCATAACATACTGCAAAAGCAACCCAAGAATTTGTATAGAAAAATAAATAAGATGTCCTTCAACGGGCAACCCAAGAGAGCATGCTTTTCAGCTACTGAAGACACTGGCATAGACATAAACAAACCAGCAACTGAAGGTGGCTGCAGTAGAGGCCTGGCAGAGCATGACCAAGGCTTCTACACTTCAGGCAGTCATTAAGTGCAAAGCATTTTCATGCAAATATTAAATACAATCCTTTTATAAAATGGGGGACTATGTAGTAGTGAGTTAATACAATGCTTGTGTTAAAACCCCAGAACTAAGGCTGAAAAACTGTCTTGCTTCTTTGACTTAAAATACACTATAGTGACTAAATGTATATGATGTTAAGTGACTGTTTTGGATCTATACCTTATATTGGGGTCAGCTCCACATTGCAGCAAGGTTTTCAAGCATCTTATGTTCTTCTCAGTTTCTTTGCCAACAGATAAGTGTACAGCAGCTACCCCTTTGGTACCCACCAGATTGGGGTTTGCGCCTTGTAAAAGAAGTTGCTGCACAGATCTGTCACGAAAGCAAGACGTGTTACACTGACAAATACTAACTAACATATCGAAAAATGAAAACACCCGTAACAAACTAGTAAGGACTGAAATATGTAGATATCGTGATTTCATGCAAACTTAATTTTTTATTGGAAAACCGACATCGTGGATAGTATTGATTTTCTTTTTGAGAGATCAGAGCTGGATAATCTGGCTAAGCTGGTAAAAACGTAAATCTTAATGTTAGTTTGACGTGGGTGGCTGTAGCATGTTTACAACACAGGACATGTCAGGGCAAAGAAGAAAAAGGGATGGACCTCACCTGGGATCTCCTTCATTCACCGCTTTACACAGCTGACTCGTCAGTCTCCTCGTGTGTCGATCCATGGCCAGCGATACTTGTTTTTTAATTTATCTAAACTGTGAACATCTTCCGAGAAGCGTGTAATAAACTACGTGGCTCTGGCTCACGTTAGCAAGCAGAGCTAACGGCGACTTGCAAGCTGCAGAAATCCAGCTATTGTTTGCGTACGTTAAACTACGTTTTCCTAAAGTTTAAGCCGGCAAAACGTTCACATGATTTTTTTTTCAATGCAGCTTGGACGATTGGACGAGCGTTTCAAATTCTAAAACATTAACTCACAATTTATCTACATTTTGTTTTTTTACTTTTCGATGAAGCTACGGTACATTGTTTTCAGACTTCCCTCCAAGCCCTGCAGCAAACGGAAATCCCTCCCACATGCGCCTCTGATTGGACAAAGTTAACCAATGAGGTGTTAGATTCATTTAAAGCAATGCACAAAGTCTTTGCCTGAAAAAATACTGATGTCTTTGTAGGTCACAGCGTTTCTATTCCACAGCTGTATTTTATTTTAGCTTCAAAACCTTTAATTAATAGACGGAGTCACATAAAACTCAAATGCTCGAACACACACTGCTAAATAACTCATTATAATGCAACATAAAAAATGCTTACATAAAATGGTACTTCAGAATCATTAAGTCACTCAAAAATATACATGCAGTCTAATATCAAGGAAAGCGCACAAGGCAAAGCTGAATATTAATATCCCTTTACAAGATACATTTGGCAATTTGCAAGAGGTTCAAATAGGCTACTTAAGTAGGATAGGGACGGAGACTGCCTTAGTTCTATATTTATTTATTATGTATTTACAACTAATATTTTTTTCTGTTGAATATAAATGATTTATGGGAGGTATTTATGAATTTAAAATGCGTATTTTCTGCTGATGATACTACTAGCAAATGGTAGTGGGGAAAATTCCGATCAACTCCTGGATACTGCAGAGAAAGATTCTGATACTTTCAAGAACCAGTCAACTCTAATAGCGAATACGGGTTTATATTGAAATTGACAATGTATCCAAAACTAAATTCTGAAGTGTGTTATTGGGTTGTAAACAAATAAGGAAACCACACATAAAACACATGACAACAAAAAATTCTAAAATAATCACATTATTACATACAGCCAAAGAACTTGGATTCTCTTCACACTGTGCACTGCTCACTCAGAGTTCTGTACAAGTTTGGAGAAATTCAAATAAAACATCACCAACTCTATGTATGCTAGTGCTATGATCAGACAGAAACATAATGGATGAATGAATGAATTAACCAGTCATGCAAAGAGTGCTTGACAGTGACTCCAATATTTGTCAATATCATCATGAAATCTCTTGTTTATTCAGTACATCTCCAATATAATTACAACCATAATTTTATTTACAGGAGCTTAACACAGCATTAAAACATTGCTCTATGCAATACTAACAGAAATGGTTTTCACTGCAAAGTTGTGTCAACACTTGGAAATTACATAAAACAACACCGCTGTCTAAAACTACTACATCATTTTTAAATTACACACAGTAGAGCGAAAACAATAATTTATTCCTCATCCAAATTCTCAGATAGCACCGATTTTCCAGGGATAGATATCATGTCATTTCAGATAGAGTAGAAAGGAAGTAGAAGGAGGCTAATCAGAAGAAGCAGCAGGCTAGGGTGGCTTGCTACAGCATGGCTGCCTTCAGGTAATTGGCAGTCCACGTAGGGCTCTATGCATAAAGCATAAGCCATCACATGAGCAATGTAGCTCTGTTCCTGGACTCCATCAAAAAGATGTGACATGGGACCTTTGGCAAAAATCGCTACATCCTCTATGCCGTGGGTCTCTGAATCAAGAGGGACAGCAGTCTGCTGGACGTAGTTGTTGTCCGCTGAAGGGAAACAAGAGAGAAGAGTATTAGCTGCATAGCTTTAGTTAGATCAGTGTTGACAAAAAAAAGCCAACAGTTGGCTTACTAAACTAAAACGCATTGTACTGATGCCATTAGCTGTATTAATAATAATAATGGATTGCATTTATATAGCGCTTTACAATTCCACTATTGTCTGTGAAGGTTCTCAGCCATCCAGGTCATCGTAGTCTACGGTGCTTGGAAAGAAAAGCGTCTGGTCTTCTTTGACAATACAGCAGCAATACTGCTGTATTGTCCATTTAATGAAACTCCATTGCTGAACATTTGTGAGGTGACAGTGAAAAGCTAGATTGAGTGTTTTGTGGCAGTGCAGTTGGTTTACTGTTACACCACAAGATGGAGCTATTGCATTGATTTGGATTCCATAAAAAGATGCTCAGTATCACTTACTTGAAATTGATTCATTCACATCCGGGCGACTTCCATTGGCAATCTGGTATCCTGGTCCATTCCCATACACAGCAGTGGTGAAGTGTTTGTTGTCAGTAGCCGTGGTATCAGAGATCCCTGTATATCACAAGGGCAAATTACCACTCAGAACATAAGATGAGGCTGACTTGTTAATGCTAAAGCTTCTTCCAAAAGTGTATTTTACCTAGAACAGGGTTTCCTCTGGGAGAATAACCTCCAAAAGCAAAAACATGAGAGTGGTCTGCAGTGACTATAGTCAGAGTGTCCAGGTCACTGACGAGGTCAGCCGTTCGCTCGATTGCTCGGTCAAACTGTACAGCTTCATGGAGTGCCTTTTTGGCCATTGTTGCATGGTGACCGTGGTCGATTCTCCCCCTTGAAGTTCAGAAGAAAGTCACTGATAAATAAGCATCTGTAGTGCTTTAATGCAACATAATACTACAACTGTGACCAGCACATCAAATATTAGTTTGGCCAATGGTATTGCAGCAAAAGTGAGTTCCAGTTATGAAAAATGGCATGAAATTAATAATAGGATTATCTGTGGAAACCAGAGTGTTAGTAACTGCTCCTTCATAGTCATATTAGACCACATTTCATTTGTTGGACACAGTGCCATGTGCAAAAGATGGAAATGGACAATGATGATGTCAATGTTGCATCATCGTAAACTTGTGTGGGGAAAGTGGTATTAATGCACACGCCCGAAGCAAGAGATGAATGAGAAAAAAAAAAAAACTGTCACTTGGAAGGGCTTCTAATATGAACCAGCCTTTTTTTCAAGTTTTAAAGAGAAGAAAAGCAGAACAGTTCATCAAACTAAAAATAAATACATAAGAATGAAACATCTGTAAAGAAACACAGACAATATTTTTTTTCAGAATCTTCTATGTGCCAAAGAAGCAAATCTGTCATCAAAAGTAAAGATGGACTTGGCAAATAAATAAATAAATGAACACTGGTTTCACTTCTGCCTGCAATCAAGATTAATCAGCACTCAGCCGGCCCTCCACATATCTCTGCTGCAGGCTGATACTGATATTGATTTTGCCATTGTCACAATATGAGAATAACATGAAAATATGCCACAGTTTTTATTCTGTCTGTTGTTGCCAATCGGACATTCACATTAAAAGGTCAACCATGATTTGTTGTTTTGATTAATATTCCTGATTTCTTTCTTTGGTGAATATACTATACTTATCTTCCACAAAGAGGAAAAATCCTTTGGGGTTCTTGCTGAGGATCTTGATAGCTTTCTCTGTCATCTCTGTAAGGGATGGGTCCATGGAGGGGTCACGATCCAGCTCGTACCAGCAGTCTTTGGGCTCAAACAGACCTTAAAATAAAAAATTTACAGGCTTCAGTTTTCCCCTGTTACATCTGCCATATTACATATACTATATATAATCTTTATATGTAATAAATAAAATGGCACAAACTTGATAAATTGCTTAAAAACACTGACAAATGAGTTCAGCAGAATTTAGCGAAACGTCACTGTTTAAAAATCTAAGGTTTTTTATGGGGTCTAGAGTACTCAAGGTCTTGATTGTGTTTTTCTTCTCTGTATGACGCAGTTGTAAGTGATGCACCTCAGAGTTCTTACCCATCAGGAAGTCTGTCGTTGCAGGATTGATAGCATCAAAGTCAGCCTTGTTCCAAACATATTTAGCATTCTGTGGGTGGGGAACAATGACAAACATGGAAAATGTTTGTTTTCTTAAAAAAAAAGTCAGTGATGAAAATCACGATACATGTTCAAACTAAAAACTGATGAGCACACTTGATGAAGGCACTGTTTACCGGTTTGTTCTTTAACCATTCATCGACCAGATTTTTTCCGTCCTTTCGGACTCCTGTCTTATTTAAATACTCTGGGTCTTCCACTGTTGTGGGAAACATATAGGTACGACCTCCACCGAGGATAACCTGCAGACAGAAATATATTCCCCTTTTGATTTTTGTACATGTAAAATACTTAAAAAAAACACATTTAGTGTATGAGGATTTATTCACCGAGTACTTCTGAGGTTTGGATTAGAAAGTGGTTTCTTAGGTTCTCTGTCATCCATGTTTTACAAAACTGTCGAGGAATCTGCTTTTGGTAAAATTTAATGACTTATCTAAAAGACCTTATCTGGTTTATTCAGTCTAGAGGTACCTTGATTTTTTTTCTATTCGTCATTTGTGTGAGTGCACTGATCATTTGCCTGCTCGTTTTGATTAAGTCTTACATTTATCTCTGTGTTGTAAACCAGCTGGTAAGCAATGTCACGGCACTCATTCTGGACTGCCTCATCTGGGAGATCAGCATCAGAATACCAGTCCCGGCTGGCAACGTGAGCGTAGGCTGCAGCAGGAGAAGCATGTTGAACTCTGGTTGTGGTGACAATGCCAACTGATTTCCCTGAAACAAGGACCAGATTTTTCATAGCGTTAACATATTTGCTGAGTTATACTTGGAGAACTTGAACTGATTAGGCTCCTAGAAGTTAACAAATTTTGTTTGAAAATGCAGGACACATTTAATTTTTTAGATTTATATATATTTAGATATATACACTTGATGTGATGTATGCTACAGAAAACACGCCTGTTTAGATGTAAAGTTGAATAGTTGTCCAGTTAGTAAGCTAATGCTGTACACTGAACAATAAATGTATATAGGTTATTTCTCTTGTACACGTTTGACTTTTAAGATTTTATTGCTTTGTAGCATCATTTTCATGTGCCTTAAAGTAGTCAAAGCTTTGTGGATGTGGGTCTACCTGCAGCCTTGGCACGGTGAAGAACAGATATGACTTCATTCCCATGGGTAGCCTGGCAGTCGTACCTTGGAGTGGCAGCACTGACCCCCAGAGTGCCATAGTTGGCTTTCACACCACACTGGTACGCTGTTGCTGTGCCAGCACTGTCTGGCATCTGCTGATCCACGTTGTACGTCTGCAGGCATCCGAAGCAATCACACATATTGCATGTTAACCAATATTCACGCTCACTGTCAAAGAAAATGCTGATTCTGTCACTGACATCAAGAAAATTAAAACACTGAACAATCATAAATTAAGTGTCCTAGATTTTTGCACAAAAATTATGTCACCTGTCCAGACTTAAAACACAGATAAAAAAAGCCTGTCTTTGTTAGGCTGGTAACACGTATCCTGCTAGTGAAAGGGCAAAACCTGAAACCTCGACCCTTACAGTAAAGGCATGACTTTGCTTTGAAGGAATTTCACTGCAAATTAATAGCTGTTGTGAGTGATGACCTTTATCTATGAAATGTTTTTATCCTAGTTAGAGTGACTACTTGCAGGATCATGTTACCCCCATCTGAATCATTGGATGATCTGATGAATATGGCAAATATGTATATTTTGTGCTACGGCCATAGACAGTATAAAACATGGAAATAGGAAAAATGAAGCCAATGAAGTACCTTAACCTTGCATTCTATATGAAGGCCACCAGATGGCACTAGTTGCCATAGAGGTCTGTGGGAAAACAACTTTGACCTTTGTGAAGACCCTTCTGCTCAATTCATGGGCTCAGTCACTCATTTTGGCTCACATTGAACACAAACTTAAGTCTGCTTTTATAGTTTATCTTTTGAAACAGTGGTGTTCCACCCTTCCAGCACATACTTGCAGAATCAATGCCAAGTGACACTGAAGCTGTTGTTTGTAATCTTGCTCTCTGGTTGTTGTTTTTATCAGTAAGATTTAGTACCATAAAAGTATGTGCGATACAGTTAAGGATGCAAGTCTACTGAGTGTGTTGCTCATAGTGTTCTGACCTTAGAAAGGGCCAGGTGGGGGAAAGAATCCATAGCTAGACTGGACTCCTCCCCACTTACTCCCTCCAACTGGCCTTTGAGGATCCGGGCAGCAGTCACTGTTGGTATACCCATACCTGGAAGTAGGAGGAAACACACCTGAGTAGATAACATCAGCCAAGAGAGTACACTGTGCTCTTTGAACTCATTAGGTCCAGCTAATAAAACAGCTAGTGAAATTTGGTCATTCTGGTCATCAGATATAAACTTTAAACTCTTCTAATGTGTCACCAATAGGTCATTAACTAAAAGAACTTTCCTATGTATTCTCACGAACACGTCATTTATTGAGGTGTTACATACTACTTATCAATCATAAATATTGATAAAACTTTAAATGTGCTGAAGACAGCATCAGTGATGGCAAAAGTCGAAGCTCATAAAATCATAATCAAGATATAAATTTGTCATTTGTAAAGAGAAGCTGGTAAACAGTGATGTTGGGTCAGAGATTAAATAGAAGCAAATGTATGATTTCATGTAAGGCTATATTTCCACAATGGAATAAAGAAATTAGTTTCTCTTGCTTTACAATAGCGGAAATTATTTCGTCTGCTTTTGGTTTTGGTTAAATGGAATTAATGAAGCAAACTGAACTAACCTGTTATTAATTTCTGTTGAACGTCCAGACATGGTAGATGACTTCAAACTGTTTCTGATTTACCCTTTCTTGGTATTAGCCCGATTAAAGATACAAGAGCAAATATTGAAACTCCACATGCACTGTGGGCTTTGCAGAGCCTCACTTCACTTTGTTATGCCTGGCTTTCCGAGCAGATGATCATGTGTCAGTGTTCATCTCCTACCATGATTTTTGTGGTACCAAAATCTGCGGCTTTAAAAGACCTTATTATGTTTTGGTGAGTTACACCACAGTGATGGAGAGACTCAAAATGAACTGAGGTACAAGAGGAAATACTTGATAGTTTAAAGAAACTTCTTAAATGGTAGGAAAATTTCTTTCTTAGACTTACCATCTCCCAGGAAGAGGATGCCATTCTTGGCTTGGTGTGAATTACGTGGTTTATTTAGGGCTGCGTGAATAGCATTCCTTCCTTTATTGTTCCAGTAGAACGGTTCGAGCTCATCCTCTATAAGCGAGACAAAATAAACGTGAAGGTGGTTAGAGCCAGTCAAATGTGTTTCTATGTTTTTTTAATGAATAAACTGCATAATAGTCAGTTTTTGCAACACCGAATGTGCATTGCATGTCTGTTACTGTCTTTCCTTTAAGCTTGAAATTAGTTGCAAACTGAAAGTAATGTTCTTAGTTTCTGTAGAAGCTCTCATGAACAAAATGTAGCAAATTCTTACTGTTAGCACACGAAGTCCACTGCACCGAAATGGAAATCAGTAATCCAATAAAACATAGGTAATGTCTGTTGGCCATGGTCTAGATTCTATGTGAATGCAGAGAGAGAACAAGAGTACGTTTTCCTCACTCTGAAGCACCTTTATATATTCAGCCAAGGAGCAAAGGGCACACGAAGGAACTTGCAATTGAGGGAAAAGGTTTTATCCAATCTCTCACACACATGCACATGGGAGAAGAGGCAGTAAACTACGCAATGTCAGTACAGAATAGTTAAGAGGATCTAAATTTGCTTTGTAGAAGTAATCATTAATGGACCACGGTGAAATTAAAACCGTAGCTCACAAGCAAAAGTGTTCTTTGCAGAATGTGAAACAGAAAGGAGTTTCCTAAAATTGTTGCTGTTAGCTTTATACCTAATAGTTAATTTGATCCCTTCTATCAGTATCATTACCCAGATTAAGTACTTTTGTGCATCATACATAGATAATGACACAGCTAGCTAGCTAGATGCTTATAGATAAATATTGATCCCACAAGGGAGATCAGTGTGCCACAGCAGCAGGATAAAAAAATAAAAATTGGACCAAATTTTTTAGTTTTTTATTTTAGTTTTGGATTTAAATGTACATTTACACAATGACTGAAACGTGCACCACTGAAGGAACAATGGGCTGTGAGGGAGTTCCTTGATCCCACAGAAACGTCCAGATTGGAGATTTACTTATCTGGATGATTGAGCTAAGATGTGTTTATTAGTTTGTCAGCCCGAGTACAGACAGCTGCAATAAAAAGCACTATCTGATAAATGTTTACCAGCAATAGCTTTAATCACTCTTGTCTATAGCTACCATAAATCAGTGTGATATGCATAAAATTTACTGATTTGTTTTTCACTCTTCCACACTTTTACATTGCAGTGTTAAAAATCTGTTTACTGTACTTCTAGACCAGCGGTCCCCAAGCTTTTTTGCGCCACGGACCGGTTTATGCCCGACAATACTTTCATGGACCGGCCTTTAAGGTGTCGCGGATAAATACAACAAAATAAAACTAGTACCGGTACCGAAAAAAAGAAAATTTATTCATAGTGATGAAAACCAAGTAAACGATAAAAACGATAACAAAATAACGCTGAAAACCGATAAAAACCCTGAAAACCATACATTTCACACCTGAGCCTCAACTCTCACGGCACGGTACCAAACGACTCACGGACCGGTACCAGTCCGAGGCCCGGGGGTTGGGGACCGCTGCTTTATGGTCAAGTGGTCCAATTTTCACAAATTGTTGAAAGTTGTTTATTTTAATTTGTGGTACAATTAACTGAGCCATGAGTGTGTGTGTGGGTGTACAGGTGGCTTTGACCGCACATCTGTGTGATGTTTTCAAAAAGTGGTTTAAAAATGTTCATTCTTTTATATCCACTGGCTTTCGTGGTTTGGACCAGGTTTATTGCAGAAAACAGTTTTATTCAAACAGGAAGATTTTGAAAGATTCAGTGGAATACACTTTTACAATGTCAAAATTTCATTCCTTACAGGGAAATACATGTAAGTGAGCCTGATAATTGTATTATTATTTATTTTATTTGATCATTATTTCACAGACTCTGTTGGAGGGCTAAACAGGAGTTTCAGTTTCCACATTCAAAATGTTAGCATCAGTATCTAAATGTTTTCTTAAATGTTGGGGCAACAATGTAATACACTTACTTTGGAACACAGCCAATCCAGAAAATGTAAAAACACATATGCTTTTTCTTGGCAATCTTTATTAAATCAAATGACCCATAAAGTTGGGCATTACCCAAAATATTTTCTATCAAATGGAGAACGATTTTACAAAGAAAGCCAGATGTTCTATGCCTACACATATGTAGGAAAAGAAATAGTATGAAAATACATTTTCAACTTTCTTATAAAATACATTCGTTTACAATCCAATAGATTATGGTATCAAGTGACAGGCAATTTAACAGAGAAACATAAAAGGTTAGGAACTATTAAGGTCTTGACACATAATGAAGGGCTGATATTTTAACACAGTCTTTCTGATTTCTTCTCAGGTCTGATAACGCCGGTACTCGCCATGACGGCTCATAATTCAGGATTACATCATAGTATTTTATTTCACCTGGACAGTGATGACCATGTTACAGCTCTGTGCCCTGCATATGTGGCCAATAGATAAAAAATGAGCTCAAATCTGTTTGTTTCAGTTTATGCTGTCCAAAGCTTTAGATTACACTGAATGTATTTAACTGGAGAAAAAACATAATGGGCAAAACTCACACTTAATAATGAAAAAAGTTAGTGCATGTTAGACGTCACATATGTACATATAGGCTGTAATTGCCTTTAATAAAATACAACAAGTTTTGATGGCTCTGCAGTGGAAACACACGGACGGCTATTTACATATGAATTATGGTTAATTTGCATATGTAGTAGCTTGAGGTTCCTGCATAGCTGTTGGTATGCACCTGAATAGAGTTAGCACATGCAAGTTAAGCCTACGTTTGCATGTAAATATGGACGTACAGAGAATCTCTTTTTCTCTTAAGAAATACAGTACTTTTATCCCTGGATTCTAAGTTGACAGCCTGTGCACATACAGTGCACATGCATACCCTGCGAGTGTTTAGTGCATATTGCTACATTTATACAAAGTAACACGTGTGCCGGATTGGGCGGGGTCATCTGAACAACAAGAGAACACAGAGAAGGAAAAACAAGAGGCTGGAAGGTGTGTTCACAGAGCCAGAGGAGGAATGAGTGTGACGGTGAGTGTGAGGAGGACAGTTTGTGTAAGGCTCCAAACAGGCAGCATAGGCCATGACATGTGCCACATAATTCTGCTCCTTTACACCGTGGAACAGGTGAGCCATTGGTCCTTTGGCATAGATGGCCACATCCTCCCCACCATGTGTCTCAGCATCCAGTGGCACAGCAGCCTGCTGCATGTACTCCTCATCATCTAAACAAAAAAAAAATGTGTAGCCAGTCACCAAACAACCTTTCAGGCTAAGTAGATGTATTTATACAGCGTTTCCATTAATTCACCGTGATGACCTTATACACTCTGCCTTACTTAAAAATTCATAAACTGTCATTGGGATAAGAGACATACATTAGATTGCACTATTACCACACTTTCCTCATGTATCCTGTGGCACAACTGTGTTTTTCAAATCCTCTGTAATTTATTTAATCAAACTTAATAATATAATTTTCACAAACCAGAAAGGAATCTAAATCCCTTTGATTCAGCGACTAACACCAAGCAAAGCGTGTAAAAATACCCAGAGTGGATGTATTTGGAAAATGACTGCAGTCTTTGGTTTGCTCTGGTTAAAGGGGCCTTTTAAGCATTGTGCAAAGGTTGAACCTTTATTCTCTTTTATTTCTACATCTCACAAAAACCTTTTGGCCTCATACGCTTACATTAATCATATAGATGTTGACTTGCAGGGGATAGGTGCCAGATGGGCTGAGTGTACACTGATTCCCAGAACAAGTATATTAAAAAGAGAAGGCATTTTTTTTACTTTACACACACTTGTGCAATGACAAAAACACACAGTGTAGGACAAGGAACATTGCTGTTAACCTTCCAAAGTACAGGAGACCTGTGCAAAGAACTAAACAGAAGACAGAACCATGAATCCGTAAATAAAATGACCATCATAATTTATCTCTGCTCTCTAGAGAAACATGCACAAGCCAACCATAACCGCGTCGCTTCAAGGTGTCTGTGTACACATCAGCACAGACGAGTGCCACAGCTGAAAGATATTAATCTGTACTTACAGTAATCCACCAAAGTGATGTTCTCTCTTGTTCCATTTATATGGACGTAACCCGGGCCATTGGCATACAGGATGCTAGTGAAAGGCATTTGGTCGTCAGCTTTCTTTGGGGCTAATCCTGAATAATAAAAATAAAAAGAATGTAGGTAAGGAAGAGGCTAGTTCCAGTATTCTTCACAAATGGTCCATCTGCACTCTTTTTTTGTTTTACCCCTTTTCTCCCCCCTTGTACTTTTAATTTCACACATCAGAGCACGATTTTCATGCTAGTTTGAACCCACAATGCCTTCACGTGGCAGTGCTTTGAGTCATACCAAAGATGGGGTTTCCTCGAGCCGTGTTGCCACCAAAGGTGAAGACATGAGAGTGGTCAGCAGTGACCACAGTCAGCGTGTCTGATTCTCTGGTGAGCTGTGCAGCACGATGAATGGCACGGTCAAACATCACAGCTTCTGTCAGTGCCAGTTTGGCAATGCCGTCGTGGTGACCGTGATCGATTCTCCCTCGTAACAGATAACAGAAAAGAGATTTAATATTTATTTCACTGTCTTGCAACTTAAGGAATTAAACCTCATTAAACTGGATTCACAAGCTAAATAATTAAATGAGTGTGCTTGCTAAGATTTTATATTAAAAAATTGTTTTATTGCACTCATCTTCCACAAACAGGAAATATCCTTTAGGATTTTTCTTCAGTATTTGAATAGCCTTTTCTGTCATCTCCACAATGGATGGATCACGCGTGCTATTCCGGAAAACCTCAAATCTCATGTCTTTGGGCTCAAACAGACCTAGAAGCACGAACAAACAAGAAGAAAATGTTCATGTTGGACCACAATGAATAAAAAATATGCAGCAGCACACAGCAATGTTGCGGTTAATCCAAACTGTCAGTTAGAGCAAAAAAAACAAAACAAAAAAAATGGAAACTGAAAGTCAATTTCAAAATATGTTAGAGTTGAACAGCTAAAACCTTCTGACCCCATCCGTAGAGTTAAAATCAGCGCTGCAATCTCAGATCATTAATATGAAAATCTATCTAAAAATTGGTACATTTGCTCATTTAAGTTATATATAAGGCAGTTAACAGTTTTAAAGAAATAATTGCTAGCTGCTAGTCAAGCCTTCTCTGTGATGGCTTGTTTTAAAAGTAAGAACACCTTTAAATGCAGCAGATCTAATTTTCTAAATTTATCATACAAGTGGGTAATATGCATAACATTGATAACAAGATGATAACACCTCTGAGCTATTGGCGGCTGCATTGTTGTCATGCAGACCATAACAGCAAGGAC